AGCAAGCGTGTTTAAATTCAGAACAATCATGCAACATCAAAGGGATTACCATATTTTGATTCCTTGATCGAAATACTTATTTCTTAGTTTTCTTAATGTTAGTTCTGAACTGTGGCTATTGTATTCATTATATTAAAGATAATGGTTATTTACTGTCCGTAGTTTGTACATATAACAATAATTGGTCTGCATTAATTGCATTGCATTATTTTCTCAGTGGTTTGAGAGATGTTGATCATTAATATTACATATGTGTGAATTTGTGCTTCCCATTCTAACAAAATTTAATTCGACCTCTTTCCTACACTTACCAGATATCATGATACTGGACTTTGATGGGCTTAAGTGAAGCTTCTGATAATCAGAAAATTCAATCTAATTATGAGTCTAATAAACAGTTAAATTAAAGGCTTTTTTAATTTATTTATTGGGTAGTTAAATGTGAGGTAATAATTAACAACGATTACGTCAGCAGGAAAAATTTAGCAGTTTGTCTTGAAAAAGATATATAAAAGAACCAAAGAAAATATTTTTTTAGTGATAAAATGGAAACTATTGTATACAGCAAAAATAAAGACTATAAAATGAATAATGTTTTATAAACTTTTAAATTAAACTTTCTTGGACATTTTCCAGCTCTTTGGTCGATTGTAGTTTTTCAATAACTATTAATAGACGATAACGTAATCATGTGTGGATATATATTTTGAAATTTATAATGCACTTCACAAAATATACAAAAACGAAATATCGTAAACGTGTTTTACATTTTCAGCTAATGTATGTAATTCCCTGCAGAAGGAATGAGGTGTGTGGTACATAAGAAATGATGCTTCTATGGAGATTAAAAAAACACAAGAAGGGAAAAATTGATATTTATACGAAAAATCAAGGCATGTAAATATCTAAATCCAGAAATAAACTTACAAAATGATTACAATATTTGCTACAATCGTTTTCACATTTATCTCAGCCTTTTTTAAACACTCTGTACGTATAGTAGCGTCATTGTTTCATCCCTATTAATATAAACGAACGATTTTAATCAAGCAGTTCATTTTGTTCTACATTGTTTAATCTCCTGTTCAAATTAGACCATAATATGCTGGATAATGATTAATAATTACATTGTAATACAATAATAATGGTACATTCAGTGGGTGACCATGGAGATAATTACTAGCCAATCTAGAAAATAGAGTAATAATTCAAAAATAATTTCACTAATTCACATTTTACTAATCTTCTGAAGATTCAAAGGTTTAGTGAAAATTTTCTGGCCAATTTGTCATCATTTCCTACAATGGGTACACCTTATAAAGTAAGTACATGAGAAATTATTTATATGTGATGTCCAATTTCATAGCATTACGACTTTGCGGCACTAAAACTGACAGACGTACCAAACAATCACACAATAAATCTTCGCGTTAAATATATCGCTCGTAAGTTTGGCAGGGAAACAAGTAAATAGGATAAATATAAACAAATCATAAGACTCTGGTTTTCCGAATTCATAGAACCGGTTGAGGTTAAAACGATAAATAACTATACCGACGAAGCTTTTTCACAAGAACTGGTGAAACTATTAAGTGTTAGCGTATTTAAAACAGGGTAATAATGGAGTCGTTTCGCTGAAAATCTCTCATTTGGAAAAGTGTCAAAATATACTCTTGAGAATAGGGAGATGTTAATGTTGTATTGCTGAAATATATCGTTCGAAGTTCTCTTTTATTTCTGCTAGTTCTATTCGCGTAAACAACTTTGAAATATATATTTATTTTCTAATAAGTTTGTTTCCTATGATGTATTTGTAAACATTTTGACGTCAGAATAATACATTGAAAACTATTAAGGTAAATTCAGATGATATCAAACTTTTATAAGTTAGTACCTGTTTTTTTTTTATAGAAACCAGTTCTGAGCTTTAGCAGATTCAAAACACATTGTTTTTAATTCATTTTTGGTTAACCAGAGATAAATATTTTATTTTTATTTTTACAGAATTGTGGCCCGCTGCCAAAACAATTAAAAGTATTTAATTTCACACATATATAATGTCAAGCAGGATATAAACCCCAAGCTTTTAGCTGTTTGCGGGCAGATATTAATGCTTCCATCCTTTAGGCAAGTAATTTTAATTAATTTTTCATGATTCTAAAAGATAATCCACTTTAAATTTTAAGTTAACTGTGAGTTAAGTGCACATTTTTATCCAAAACACATATTTCGTCTAAAGTTAGTATTTCAGAATAATACATACTGTGGTAAATAATATTATTTGCCACATATTGAGTACCTATTGACGGAAAAACAAGTTAGAAACTATGTGGATAAAATCAACAAATAATAATTCCACTGTTGTGAAAAATATATTTTGTTCTAAAAATAAATTATGAATAAATATAAGTTCAGAATATTGAATTGTAATTTTCGAATAGGAATTATTCTTCCTTGAAATATTCATTATAAAGATAGATGTAAGTAACAGATGTTCCGTTTATTACTGAACAGTTATTATTAACGCCGAGGTAGCAACTTGTATGTAGGTAAGTCTTAGAAAACTCATAAAAAATTACCGTTCATATTTTCCTCAGAATTTCTTGGCTTTTAACACAGTTTTTGAACTCATCGGCGCGAAACAAATTTTACATTATGTAAACGTGAGTGCTAGTAAAACTCTTATTTATAAAAGTAGGCGTGCTCTAAAGGTATGACTGTTTCTTGGCAGACCCCTTTTTTCTAGTCGATTTCTTTGAAACAAACTGTCCGTGTCCAAAGCTACAAAATAAGTTTTTGTTGTTGATAAATAACGACTGTTTCTTATACCGAGAAGATATTTTCGATAAAAACAATGAAATCCTTGGAATATACGCTTTTAGGTGGGTTATAAAACGAACCCAAGGAACACAATCATATTAAACTAAATCACATTTATTAAACATTAAAAATTTAGAAAACTGTTTATAAAAAAAAGAAATAATATTTCCCAAAAAGTATCAGTTTAAAACAACAAGATCATTGTTGAAGCAATGATTATAATGTAAAAATTACCAAAAATGGAGTTTTTTAGCTGTATTAAAAAGCGCTCTGCGACAGAAGTTTTTGTTCTTGTTTTACTTATAGGTTTTCAAAAACGCTGCTAAATTAAAATCCATTAACAATTTGTTTAAATAATTGCAAAAAACCAGCGAAATTGAATTTGCTATAAATAGAAGAAAACTAAACTGCAGTAAAGGTTGTATTTTGTTACGCTTAAGAAACCCTGAAAATTGGGTAAAGAAATATTTATTTGTTTGCGAGTTTTTGCATTTGTTTATTAGAAATAGCATTTTTTCAATTGCAAAAACTTTATAT